AGGTCAATGGCTGGGGGGGCGTGTCCTCACTGAGGGGGGGCGTGTCTGACACGCCCCCCCTCAGTGAGGCAGATGTGATAGCTGCCTCCCCTGGTGCTTTTTCATTGCAGTTTCATGACGAGACCAGCGAGCCTAAATATCTTTATACACGTACGTCAAATAAGTTACCTGGAGTATGGAAGGCGAGGACATGACATGAAGGGGTCTACAATCATTGCATTTGTGACACACAGAGAGATAGTAACAGGCACACGCTTATTGCCCGCGCTCCATCCAGTTACTGTGGGGTTGCGCAATCACAGGGGAGGCTGAGCTCGCCGCCGCCTCACCTCTCGTCGTCTCCCTGTATTTGCAGCGGAGCTCCGCAAATTTGGCGATTTTGACCATAAAAATGACTGGAATCGTACAGAAATGACACCTGTAACACAGATCAGTGGGGAAAAAAAATCGTAATTTTGAGCTCAATATTTTTTACTTCTCGTAACAGCTATTTTAATTGGAGTATTAACAGGTGAGGCTGTGCCTCGCCTGCCTCCCCTGACCCACACGTCCCTGGTTTACTGAGATGACTCGCAGACGCACCACCTGTGCCCCCTACTGCGCCACCTCGCTGCGTTTTAGCCGCCCGGCCCTCCGTTCGTTGTTGTGAGCGTCGCTCCTCCGACCTCCGCTCCTTGTTGGAGGACGGCTGCCTCCAACTTCCCAGGAGCGTCCATTACGAGCCACCTCCTCTACAGACGCCAATCTTGACACCGCTGGCACCGGTCATCGGTGAATCTGCTCACGTCCTGCAAAACAACGTCACTCGATTGCTTCTCTAGCCCGTGCCGTGCCCATTTACCCCCTCCACCTGGCCAAGCAGAAGCTGCTTGTCAATGCGGTGGCTGGGCATGCGTGTGCGTGTGTGCTATACGTGACCCAAGCCAATGCGTCGTCGCTTTGCGGGAGGATTTCACCGATGATGGGACTCTGTCCAGAACCTTCAGGGGATCGAGCACAGGTAGGCCGCCAGCCCGAATTGTTTTCCATCCGATGCAGATGTTCCATTGGAAGAGTCCGCGCGACTGTGGCCGAGAAGACCCGGAGCGATGTATGGAGCGACGGAGCCAGGTGGCTTCCACAAAGCGGCGTTACGCGGCTGATGAAAAGAGTGGTGGTTGGCACACTGCCCAGGTACGGGAACTGCTCCACTCTTTCCACAACTGCTCCATCATTAAATGAGGAAGTGGGACGTTTGATGGCATAAAATACCCAGGCAGGCGTTTAGTTTTGGTGGGGTTGATGGTGAGGTCCCACCTCTTAGTGCCACGCTCCAAGTTCCTCTCTGAGTGAGCAGCAATCACCAGATCATCAACATACGTAACATGGTTGACCAACAGGGATCCATCCCTGGACCGCACTCTGGCATCGATCAGCTTCCCCGTGGTATCTGTACCAGATGGAAATTCCTTGGGTACAGCCATGAAAATATACTCCAAGTACGTGGTCAAAAAATATCTTAAATTATGTAGGAGACAGATGACATCCCTGTCATCTGTCTCCACAGCTCCCTCCTTCACCCACAGCTCCCTCCTTCATCCACAGCTCCCTCCTTCACCCACAGCTCCCTCCTTCACCCACAGCTCCCTCCTTCACCCACAGCTCCCTCCTTCACCCACAGCTCCCTCCTTCACCCACAGCTCCCTCCTTCACCCACAGCTCCCTCCTTCACCCACAGCTCCCTCCTTCACCCACAGCTCCCTCCTTCACCCACAGCTCTCTCCTTCATCCACAGCTCCCTCTGTCCACAGCTCCCTCCTTCATCCACAGCTCCCTCCTTCATCCACAGCACTTTCCTCTTGTCCTTATTCCGACGTTCACTGTCATTCCCACAATCCCCTCTCCAATTCCCGTCCCTCAACCCTTTCACCTCATCTTCAGCCACCAATCACATATCACCGTGACCCCTCTGTCTCATTGGGTGAGGTCCCGTGACCCCCATGTGACCCCTCCGTCCCCTTGGGTGAGGTCCTGTGGCCTCACGTGATCCCTCCGTCCCTTTGAGTGAGGTCCTGTGGCCTCACGTGACCCCTCCGTCCCCTTGGGCGAGGTCCTGTGGCCTCACGTGACCCCTCCGTCCCCTTGGGCGAGGTCCTGTGGCCTCACGTGACCCCTCCGTCCCCTTGGGTGAGGTCCCGTGACCCCCACGTGACCCCTCCGTCCACTTGGGGGAGGTCCTGTGGCCTCACGTGACCCCTCCGTTCCCTTGGGTGAGGTCCTGTGGCCTCACGTGACCCCTCCGTCCCCTTGGGTGAGGTCCCGTGGCCTCACGTGACTCCTCCATCCCCTTGGGTGAGGTCCTGTGGCCTCACGTGACCCCTCCGTCACCTTGAGTGAGGTCCCGTAACCCCCCACGTGACCCCTCCATCACCTTGAGTGAGGTCCCGTGACCCCCACGTGACCCCTCCGTCCCCTTGAGTGAGGTCCCGTGACCCCCACGTGACCCCTCCCTCCCCTTGGGTGAGGTCCCGTGACCCCCACGTGACCCCTCCGTCCCCTTGGGTGAGGTCCCGTGACCCCCACGTGACCCCTCCATCACCTTGAGTGAGGTCCCGTGACCCCCACGTGACCCCTCCCTCCCCTTGGGTGAGACTACGGCTCTATCCAGCAGTGGAGAAACCATGGCCCCATTCATACCACTGATCGCATGGGCATATCAATGCAGGACATTATTCTGTTCCCAATTACGAACGTGTCTCAGGAAGGAATTTTGATCGTAAATCGAGGACTGACTGTATAACATTTAATGTTAGTGTATTTATTCATCATTTTACTTATTTGTTTTTAGCTTTCCCTGTAAAGTAAATGGAAATAAATCCAAAGTTAGTTCTATTGAAACTTCGTTTTGTTGTTTATCCACACATCGAGGTATTACTGTATAGGCAGTACCTGACTTACGAGCGCACGACTTGCGAACATCCGTACTTACGAACCAGCTTCAGTGATATTTTAAAATGTTTTTTTTTACATTGCATTGCGAACTGGAACTGTTGTGTTCGGCGGAGCGATCCTCCGCAAGATGTAATGGGTCACAGCATCCGCTCGGAGCGAGTGTTTGTGAGCGTGTGTTTGGGGTCATGTGGCCCGCACGCCCGGCCACCGCATGCCCAAGCAGCTTTTGTTTGGCCGGATCGAGGGGGCTAAACGGGCGCGGCACGGGCTAGAGAAGAGACGGAGTGATGTGGTACAGGAGGACGTGGAGCTGAGTGGACTTGCCGATGACCGGTACCAGCGGTGTCAAGATCGGCCTCTGTGGAGGAGGCTCGTGAAGGATGCTACTGGGCAGTTGGAGGCAGTCGCCCTCCAACAACAACGGAGGGCGGAGGAGCGACGCTCACAACAACGAGCGGAGCGCCGGGCGGCTAAAGCGCAGCAAGTTGGCACGGCAGGGGGGTACAGTCAGCCAACCAGTGGCACACGCTGGGTCTGTCCCGAGACCTCTGCCTGTCAGCGAGTCCTTCGACACTTCACGTCGGCTCAAAGTGCACCTAGCCTGGCACAGGCGCCGTGGTGACATCACCGTCACCGAGTGGCGAATGGCGTGTGCTACTGGGGGAGCGGCGGTGTAGCGGTTAGCGCTACGCTGCGCTACGAACCCGGCGGTCCGACTTCAATTCCCGCTCACGGCCAAACACCCGGTGACGATTATCTGAACCGGTCCCGGGCCTCCCCTAGGTCGACTCTGCCTCAAATATATGTGCTCGTTAACAGCACTTGCCCCAACAGTCTGTACAGGCTATACGGGGGATCTTTGTCTTTGTGTGTCCGTGTCCAATTGCGGCAACGCCTAACGCCCCTTCCGACTCGCAAGCCGGCATCGGGACTCAAGTGAAAATGAAACGGATTTTTCTTTTTTGGTTAATGTTACTTTATTTGATGTTTTATTTACCACACACAGTATCGCACAGTGTTACGTGCACATATACAACACTTATTCTTATTTATGAGTTTTAACAATGCTGCAACTTTTTCGGTGAACCGTAACGCATTTCATAACAATCACCCTCTGTCCATTCCAATGCAGTTACATTGTGGTGTTCCGACTTACGGCCTGTTCGACTTACGAACCAATTGCGTCCGTAAGTCGAGGACGGCGGCACCCACGACAGGGCCTGCGCGATTACGTCACGCACATTCGGGACGTCACGACGCACTCTGCCGACAGGCGCCGTGGCGTCACGACGTAACGATATTTATGCCCTATGCGATGACCTCACGAGCGTCATGATGTCACGACGCACTCTGCCCGCGAGGGGAGGGGGCTCCCCTCGCGGGCAGAGTGCGTCGTGACGTCATGGCTGATACGCGTAGATCGTAACCCGGCGTCATTACGCAACGGAAACGGGCTTACGCGATTACGTCATACAAGTATTGAATCGCCGTGGAGGCGAGGGCGGCTGAAATAGGTACCTGTCCCCCTCCCCCCCAGACGTCGTGACGTCATGACGCTGACGGATCGGACACATGAACGTCGTGACGTCACTACGCATCGCAGGCTTGTTCATCATCTCACGTCCTGACCGTCAAGACGCAACGACATTCGCTTCCGCATCCCTTACCGTCGTGACGTAACGACGCAAGGATATTATTTTTACGGCGTGAAGTCATGACGCACGACTGACACTCCGCTGCTTGACGTGTGACGTCAACCACGCACGCAGCGCTCGTGACGTCTTTTTGGCGGGAGGAGTCCAGGGCCTGGCGTCGAAGGCTCTCTTCAAGTTGACCGGTTTTTTTTGTTACATTTATTTTTAAAATAATCTTATCCCCCTGCGCGCTTGCGTTTAAACGTTCAAATGCTTGACGTGTTCGGTGGGTGGAAACGTTAAATCGCCGAGGGGTAATAACGGGAACCTGCTCAATTTCCTGAGGTAAACTTTTTCAGTCACGAGCCTCGGCCTGGGGTCGCGTTGAGGATTTACAAAACCCGCAAACTTCTTCGCGTCTCCGTTTATTCTTAAAACACGCTTATAGACACGTTGATTTTGTTTTTATATACCGCCTCCACAAATCAGCAACGCCAATATCCAAAATTAATCTGCCGTGAGGCGACGGTTCCAACCATTTCGAGGCCTCGCATCAAGCAAAGGGGAGCGCCGCGTTCATTTGATCCGATCGGTCAGTCATGTCATCATCCCCTACTCCTCTGGCCAATGCCCCCCACACGCTCGCCAACAATGCCCGGCCCGCCAATGCCCTCCCCGCTGCCTTCACCGACGCCCTCTCTGGCACCTTGGCCAATGCCCCCAGTGCGTTGGCCAATGCCCCTCACGCAGCCAATGCCCCTGCAAACGCCTCCGACGAGATATTAGTAGCCAATGCCCCTAATACATTAGCCCATGCCCCTAACACATTAGCCCATGCCCCTAACACATTAGCCCATGCCCCTAACACATTAGCCAATGCTACTGAGCCGTTAGCCCATGCCCCACTCGCCAATGCTCCAGGTGCGCCTGCCAACGCCCCCGATGCATTGGCCAATGCCCCTCAGACTGCGAATGCCCCCAATGCATTGGCCAATGCCCCTGCTCCTCACTCATTGACCAATGCCCCTGCTCCTCACTCATTGGCCAATGCCCCTGCTCCTCACTCATTGGCCAATGCCCCTGCTCCTCACTCATTGGCCAACGCCCCTGCTCCTCACTCATTGGCCAACGCCCCTGCTCCTCACTCATTGGCCAACGCCCCTGCTCCTCACTCATTGGCCAACGCCCCTGCTCCTCACTCATTGGCCAACGCCCCTGCTCACACATTGGCCAACGCCCCTGCTCCTCACACATTGGCCAATGCCCCTGCTCCTCACACATTGGCCAACGCCCCTGCTCCTCACACATTGGCCAACGCCCCTGCTCTTCACACATTGGCCAACGCCCCTGCTCCTCACTCATTGGCCAACGCCCCTGCTCCTCACTCATTGGCCAACGCCCCTGCTCCTCACTCATTGGCCAACGCCCCTGTTCCTCACTCATTGGCCAATGCCCCCGGCACACTTGCCAATGCCCCGCGTGCGTTATCCAATGCCCCTCATGTGCTAGCCAATGCCCCTGAGGCATTGGCTATTGCCCCTCATACACTGGCCAATGCTTCTGAGAGGGTAGCCAATGCCTCTGCCTCTAATACATTAGCCAATGCCCCTCATGTATTAGCCCATACCCCTAATACATTAGCCAATACCCCTAATACAGCCAATGCCCCTAATACATTAGCCAATGCCCCTAATGAATTAGCCAATGCCCCTAACACATTAGCCAATGCCCCTAATACATTAGCCCATGCCCCTAACACATTAGCCCAGGCCCCTAACACATTAGCCAATGCCCCTGAGCCGTTAGCCCATGCCCCAAATGCATCAGCCAATGCCCCTGAGCCGTTGGCTCACTTACCCGAGGCCTTGCTGCCCAAAGGGCCCGGGAGCCGCCTGGGCATCCACTCCTTCTCGCTGTGCGTGAGGGATCGGCCCGTGGAGGCGCTCGGCATCTCCCTGCCGGGCTCCCTGCTGCTGTGGCTCGGGGAGAGGGGAGACCCGCGCCTCTCCGCGCTTGCGGTGGCGCTCGCCACTCGCCTGGTGAGACTGTGGGGCGCTTAGCCCGCGACTCCCACACGCGCACGCCTGTCTGGCTCGCGCACAGAACCCCGACTGTCTCGTGCACACGGTCCTGCCTCGCACACTCCTCTCGGAACGCATTATCATAGTGCAGACGAAATCTGACAAGCCCAGCTCGCTGGTGTTGGTGGTGGATAGAGCCGATGTCCCTCATGTCTCCCGCCCTGTCTCCCTGTCCCTGCCTCCCTGCGTCTCCCGTACCTCCCCATGCCTCCCTCTGTCTCCGCGTGTCTCCCCGCATCTCCCCGTGTCTCCCCGTGCCTCCCTCCGTCTCCCCGTGTCTCCCGTGCAGGACACGATGCCGATTGGCAGCTCGCTGCTGGGAGACCACGCCGAGGGGTTCTCCTGTGCCCTCGCCCAGCGCCTGGGTGAGCCCCTCATCCTGGACCCCCAAACCCTCACCCTGGACCCCCAAACCCTCACCCTGGACCCCCAAACCCTCACCCTGGACCCCCAAACCCTTACCTTGGACCCCCAGACCCTCACCCTAGATCCCCAAACAATCACAGTGAGATCAGCAAGGTATTATGGTTCATTTGTGGCAAGCACCAGGTACTCCGACGTAGAAAAGGCCGAGGAACAGTTCAGATATCCGTCACTGTTATTGGTTGTGAGTAGGAATTCAACTCGGGTCACAGGGTTCATATCCCACTCACTCACGGTGTAGAACAGGGGGAGATCACACAAACTCCACTCACTCACTCTGTAGAACAGGGGGAGATCACACAACTCACTCACTCTGTAGAACAGGGGGAGATCATATAAACTACACTCACTCTGTAGAACAGGGGGAGAGATCACACAAACTCCACTCACTCTATAGAACAGGGGGAGATCACACAAACTCCACTCACTCTGTAGAACAGGAGGAGATCACACAAACTCCACTAACTCACTTTGTAGTACAGGGGGAGATCACACAAACTCCACTCACTCTGGAGAACAGGAGGAGATCACACAAACTCCACTAACTCACTTTGTAGTACAGGGGGAGATCACACAAACTCCACTCACTCTGTAGAACAAGGGGAGATCATACAAACTCCACTCACTCACTCTGTAGAACAGGGGGAGATCACACAAACTCCACTCACTCTGTAGAACAGGGGGAGATCACACAAACTCCACTCACTCTGTTGAACAGGGGGAGATCATATAAACTCCACTCACTCACTCTAGAACAGGGGGCGATCACACAAACTCCACTCGCTCACTCTGTAGAACAGGGGGAGATCACACAAACTCCACTCACTCACTCAGTAGAACAGGGGGAGATCATACAAACTCCACTCACTCACTCTGTAGAAAAGGGGGAGATTACACAAACTCCACTCACTCTATAGAACAGGGGGAGATCACACAAACTCCACTAACTCACTTTGTAGTACAGGGGGAGATCACACAAACTCCACTCACTCTGGAGAACAGGAGGAGATCACACAAACTCCACTAACTCACTTTGTAGTACAGGGGGAGATCACACAAACTCCACTCACTCTGTAGAACAAGGGGAGATCATACAAACTCCACTCACTCACTCTGTAGAACAGGGGGAGATCACACAAACTCCACTCACTCTGTAGAACAGGGGGAGATCACACAAACTCCACTCACTCTGTTGAACAGGGGGAGATCATATAAACTCCACTCACTCACTCTAGAACAGGGGGCGATCACACAAACTCCACTCGCTCACTCTGTAGAACAGGGGGAGATCACACAAACTCCACTCACTCACTCAGTAGAACAGGGGGAGATCATACAAACTCCACTCACTCACTCTGTAGAAAAGGGGGAGATTACACAAACTCCACTCACTCTATAGAACAGGGGGAGATCACACAAACTCCACTCACTCTGTAGAACAGGAGATCACACAAACTCCACTAACTCACTTTGTAGTACAGGGGGAGATCACACAAACTCCACTCACTCTGTAGAACAAGGGGAGATCATACAAACTCCACTCACTCACTCTGTAGAACAGCGGGAGATCACACAAACTCCACTCACTCACTCTGTAGAACAGGGGGAGATCACACAAACTCCACTCACTCACTCTGTAGAACAGGGGGAGATCATACAAACTCCACTCACTCACTCTGTAGAAAAGGGGGAGATTACACAAACTCCACTCACTCTATAGAACAGGGGGAGATCACACAAACTCCACTCACTCTGTAGAACAGGAGATCACACAAACTCCACTAACTCTCTTTGTAGTACAGGGGGAGATCACACAAACTCCACTCACTCTGTAGAACAAGGGGAGATCATACAAACTCCACTCACTCACTCTGTAGAACAGCGGGAGATCACACAAACTCCACTCACTCACTCTGTAGAACAGGGGGAGATCACACAAACTCTACTCACACTGTAGAACAGGGGGAGATCACACAAACTCCACTCACTCACTCTGTAGAACAGGGGGAGATGACACAAACTCCACTCACACTGTAGAACAGGGTGAGATCACACAAACTCCACTCACTCACTCTGTAGAACAGGGGGAGATCACACAAACTCCACTCACTCACTCACTCTGTAGTACAGGGGGAGATCACACAAACTCCACTCACTCACTCTGTAGAACAGGGGGAGATCACACAAACTCCACTCGCTCACTCTGTTGAACAGGGGGAGATCACACAAACTCCACTCACACTGTAGAACAGGGGGAGATCACACAAACTCCACTCACTCACTCTGTAGAACAGGGGGAGATCACACAAACTCAACTCACTCACTCTGTAGAACAGGGGGAGATCACACAAACTCCACTCACTCTGTAGGACAGGGGGAGATCACACAAACCCCACTCGCTCACTCTGTAGAACAGGGGGAGATCACACAAACTCCACTCACTCACTCTGTAGAACAGGGGGAGATCACACAAACTCCACTCACTCACTCTGTAGAACAGGGGGAGATCACACAAACTCCACTCACTCTGTAGAACAGGGGGAGATCACACAAACTCCACTCACTCTGTAGAACAGGGGGAGATCACACAAACTCCACTCACTCACTCTGTAGAACAGCGAGAGATCACACAAACTCCACTCACTCACTCTGTAGAACAGGGGGAGATCACACAAACTACACTCACTCACTCTGTAGAACAGGAGGAGATCACACAAACTCCACTCACTCTGTAGAACAGGGGGAGATCACACAAACTACACTCACTCTCAACTGGAAGCCGATGTGTGCGTGACGTGCATGCGTGTCTCACGTGTGTGTGTGTCACTGTGTGTGTCTCACGTGTGTGTCTCACGTGTGTGTGTCTCACGTGTGTGTCACGTGTGTGTGTCACGTGTGTGTCTCACTTGTGTGTGTCTCACTTTTCTCTCACTTGTGTGTCACGTGTGTGTCACGTGTGTGTGTCACGTGTGTGTGTCACGTGTGTGTGTGTCACGTGTGTGTGTGTCACGTTTGTGTGTCACGTGTGTGTCGTGTGTGTGTCACGTGTGTGTCTCACTTGTGTGTGTCACTGTGTGTGTCTCACTTGTGTCACGTGTGTGTGTCACGTGTGTGTGTCACGTGTGTGTGTCTCACGTGTGTGTGTCACGTGTGTGTGTCTCACGTGTGTGTGTCACTGTGTGTGTCTCACTTGTGTCACGTGTGTGTGTCACGTGTGTGTGTGTCACTTGTGTGTGTCACTGTGTGTGTCTCACTTGTGTCACGTGTGTGTGTCACGTGTGTGTGTCACGTGTGTGTGTCACGTGTGTGTCACGTGTGTGTCACGTGTGTGTCTCACTTGTGTGTGTCACGTGTGTGTGTGTCACGTGTGTGTGTGTCACGTGTGTGTGTCTCACTTGTGTCACGTGTGTGTGTCTCACTTGTGTCACGTGTGTGTGTCTCACGTGTGTGTGTCACGTGTGTGTGTCATGTGTGTGTCACGTGTGTGTGTATCACGTGTGTGTCTCACGTGTGTGTCTCACGTGTGTGTCACGTGTGTGTGTGTCACGTGTGTGTGTCACGTGTGTGTGTCTCACTTGTGTGTGTCACGTGTGTGTGTCTCACGTTTGTCTCACGTGTGTGTGTCTCACGTGTGTGTGTCTCACGTGTGTGTCACGTGTGTGTGTCTCACGTGTGTGTCACGTGTGTGTGTCACGTGTGTGTGACACGTGTGTGTCTCACGTGTGTGTCACGTGTGTGTGTCACGTGTGTGTCACGTGTGTGTGTGTGTCACGTGTGTGTGTCTCACTTGTGTGTCACGTGTGTGTGTCAGGTGTGTGTGTCTCACTTGTGTCACGTGTGTGTGTCACATGTGTGTCACGTGTGTGTGCCACGTGTGTCTCACTTGTGTGTGTCACGTGTGTGTGTCTCACTGTGTGTGTCTCACGTGTGTGTGTGTCACGTGTGTGTCACGTGTGTGTATCTCACTTGTGTGTGTCTCACGTGTGTGTGTCACGTGTGTGTTTCTCACTTGTGTGTGTCTCATGTGTGTGTGTCTCACGTGTGTGTCACGTGTGCGTGTCTCACGTGCGTGTGTCTCACGTGTGTGTGTCTCACGTGTGTGTGTCTCACTTGTGTGTGTCTCACTGTGTGTGTCTCACGTGTGTGTGTCTCACGTGTGTGTGTCACGTGTGTGTCTCACGTGTGTGTGTCTCACGTGTGTGTCACTTGTGTGTGTCACGTGTGTGTGTCACGTGTGTGTCTCACGTGTGTGTCACGTGTGTGTGTCACGTGTGTGTCACGTGTGTGTGTCACGTGTGTGTGTCTCACTTGTGTGTCACGTGTGTGTGTCAGGTGTGTGTGTCTCACTTGTGTCACGTGTGTGTGTCACATGTGTGTCACGTGTGTGTGCCACGTGTGTCTCACTTGTGTGTGTCACGTGTGTGTGTCTCACTGTGTGTGTCTCACGTGTGTGTGTGTCACGTGTGTGTCACGTGTGTGTATCTCACTTGTGTGTGTCTCACGTGTGTGTGTCACGTGTGTGTTTCTCACTTGTGTGTGTCTCATGTGTGTGTGTCTCACGTGTGTGTCACGTGTGCGTGTCTCACGTGCGTGTGTCTCACGTGTGTGTGTCTCACGTGTGTGTGTCTCACTTGTGTGTGTCTCACTGTGTGTGTCTCACGTGTGTGTGTCTCACGTGTGTGTGTCACGTGTGTGTCTCACGTGTGTGTGTCTCACGTGTGTGTGTCTCACGTGTGTGTGTCTCACTGTGTGTGTCTCACGTGTGTGTGTCTCACTTGTGTGTGTGTCTCACTTGTGTGTGTGTCTCACGTGTGTGTGTGTCACGTGTGTGTGTCTCACTCGCGTGTCTCACTCGTGCGTGTCTCACTCGTGTGTGTCTCACTTGTGTGTGTGTCTCACTGTGTGTGTGTCTCACGTGTGTGTGTCTCACTTGTGTGTGTCTCACGTGTGTGTGTGTGTCACGTGTGTGTCACGTGTGTGTCTCACTTCTGTGTGTCTCACGTGTGTGTGTCTCACGTGTGTGTCTCACGTGTGTGTGTCTCACGTGTGTGTGTCTCACTTGTGTGTGTGTCTCACGTGTGTGTGTGTCACGTGTGTGTCACGTGTGTGTCTCACTTCTGTGTGTCTCACGTGTGTGTGTCTCACGTGTGTGTCTCACGTGTGTGTGTCTCACTCGCGTGTCTCACTCGTGCGTGTCTCACTCGCGTGTCTCACTCGCGTGTCCGCGCCTGCAGCCAAGCGCACGGGCAAGCAGGTGTTCGCCAGCGTGAACCTGCCCGGGCTCGACCCGGCCTCGCTGGCGCTTTTGGAGCAGCAGCTGCGGCACGAGATGGAGCAGAGGCCCGACAGGTTCTGACGTCGGAGGTCGGCCGCTCCCCGATGTCGCCGTCGACGCGGAACTGATTATAAAAGTGCACGGCTCCCGGTGGCTTCCTAATATCGGAAGGAAGAGCGTTCCAGACGGCCGCGGAAGCGCGCCTGAAAGCTCGCGACGCGGCGACCACCGTCCTTGTTTCGATGGCCCAGCCAACGAGCCGCCGCCACCGAGATGATGACCGGAGGTGGTGCGACGACGGGAAAAACCCCACGGTCACGCGAAACTCCGCTCCGACACAGAGACACATAGACTCACCACACAGAGACACATAGACTCACCACACAGAGACCCATAGACTCACCACAGAGACCCACAGACTCATCACACAGAGACTCATAGACTCATCACACAGAGACCCATAGACTCACCACACAGAGACTCATAGACTCACCACGCAGAGACCCATAGACTCACCACACAGAGACTCATAGACTCACCACGCAGAGACCCATAGACTCACCACACAGAGACCCATAGACTCACCACATAGAGACCCATAGACTCACCACATAGAGACACATAGACTCACCACATAGAGACCCACAGACTCATCACACAGAGACACATAGACTCATCACACAGAGACCCATAGACTCATCACACAGAGACCCATAGACTCATCACACAGAGACACAGACTCACTACATAGAGACCCATAGACTCACTACATAGAGACACACAGACTCACCACATAGAAACCCACAGACTCACCACACAGAGACTCATAGACTCATCACACAGAGACACAGACTCACTACATAGAGACCCATAGACTCACCACACAGAGACCCATAGACTCACCACACAGAAACACATAGACTTACAGAGACACATAGACTCACCACACAGAGACCCATAGACTCACCACACAGAAACGCATAGACTCACCACACAGAGACTCATAGACTCACCACGCAGAGACCCCTAGACTCATCACACAGAGACACATAGACTCACCACACAGAAAACACATAGACTCACCACACAGAGACTCATAGACTCACCACACAGAGACCCATAGACTCACCACACAGAGACCCATAGACTCACCACACAGAAACACATAGACTTACCACAGAGACACATAGACTCATCATGCAGAGACCCAAAAACTCACCACACAGAGACTTGTAGACTCACCACACATGCGTGGAGTTAGCGTGTTCTCTCCCCCACTGTTCTGCAGATTGTGAGTGAGTCTAGTTTGTGTGTTCTCTCCCCCATTGTTCTGCAGATTGAGCGCAGTTTGTCTGATCCCCTCCTTGTTTTTCAGAGTGAGTGAGTGGAGTTTGTCTGATCCCCCCCCTCCCCCCGTTCTGCATAGCTTCCCCTGTGGGTTCTCCGGCTTCCTCCCGTAGTAAAAACAAAAAACCCCATAACACAGCATTAACCGGAATATGTCCGCTGCGATACCGTTCGGCGGGGTGACGATTTGTATGTATGCACGCGCATTTAACTTTTTTCGCACCATACGTAGCCAGCCGTGGTGATTGAACTTGCGCCGCAGCTGCGAGAGTTCCGACCGAAGGAAGCCCCTTTCCGCCCCGGTCATCGTGCGTGTGTGTGTCGCAGGCACCAAACGGCGATAACATCGACGAATGAAACTAAACTAAAATAACAATAGTAATCGGCTCGTGAATCAAATCACATCACTTTCCTTGAGTTCTATTGAGAATGCCCAGGGGCGTCTGGGTGGGGTGGAAGAGGGCAGCGGTTAAATGCTCTTTCCCTTTGTTTACAACATGTCGTATACATAAATAAGTAAATGAAATGAACCGGGATGCATAGCTCCAGTGGCTTCCTAATGTCGGAAGGAAGAGCGTTCCAGACGGCCGCAGACGTGCCGACCATCGTCTTTGATTGATGGCCCCGGCCAAAAGCCGCTGCGAGGGTGACCGGAGTTTGCGCGATGGGTTCATCCTCCTTGACGAGATCGGCGGGGTACTGTGGCTCATTTGTGGGAAGCCCTTTGTGTTGCGTAATGAGCGAGCCGCGTTCGTTCGGCGAACCGAAAGCCAACCGGACGGACACGGTCGGTTCCTTGCAGTGCCCCGTCCCGACACACGTGCCGGAGAATTTAGTACACGCCGCAGCTTGCTAATGTTTCTGCCAGACATCCCGTAGGGTTTTAGTGGGTTGCAATAACCGAGCCTTGTCGATACTATGCTATTAGCCGAGTGGCAAACGTTTGAGTGCATTTAACACGACGTAGGTATTTCTCTGACCGGAGGTATGGTGTTACGGTTAGTTCTTGATATTTTTCTGGGGGAGGGGGGTGGGAGCTGGTGGTGAGATCGCCGCCTTAATGAAATGCCTCCAGACGGACAATAAAGTTGCCGTATGATGAACAAAACGTGGCAGTAGTTGATTACTGCTATACGTTGCGTGTGAACTGCCGTCCCAAAACACTGGCGGTGTTGTGAGATTTTGACTCCCTCGCCCGGTATGGAGGAGGTCGTGGATTAAATCCCAACCCTGACGCCTGCTGTATATTTGGAGTTTTGCGGTCGTGTGGATTTTTCTCCGGGTCCCTCCGGTTTTCCCCTCCACATTTATAAACATGCGTTTAGAGTGTTTGGCTGCTATGAGTTTCCATGTGACGATAATCCACTTAATTGAGATATAATTTGTGATAGCCAGGCCGCTTCTGGAAAGGGGCTATGCAGCTCAGTGGGCCTTACCTGGTAAAATAAAATGAAAGCGTTTAACACGAAAGAGGAATATTCTTGGTTCTTTCGGTAAAGTCACGTTGAAGGGAAACAATAAAGTAATAAAATATATATAACAATAAAATTCTCACGACGTTTCGACTTGTAACACAAACAGTCATCATCAGGTGAAACGTCGTGAGAATTTAATTGTTTCATATATATTTTATTGTTTCCCTTCAACGTGACTTTAACGAAAGAACCAAGAATATGAATCACTGCAGTCACGCCAGCTTGAAATCAAAACGAAAGAGGAAGTTGAGTTTTTGGGCCAACTTAGCAACCACGCGCCCCACTACGTATCTAGAGAACATGCAGGTGCCTCAATCGCATTGTATATTGTCGAACTTGTTTCACACCTCATCATTAGACCTCCTTTGCCAGTACCAAAATATAATAATAATAGGGGTTTTCCCCTTTTTCCTGGCAACAAAACTTAAACCTTTTTACAAGGATTCATGTTACTGCATTAACCGCAATACCTGCAGTGGAAATGCAAACAAAAACACACTATGATAATATGTTGCATTGTCCTTGAAGCTGATTGGTACACACCAAGGGACGGCTTTCTTTTGAGCCTCGACCCAATTGGTGCTCGACCAAAGGAGGTGTAATGATGTAGATGCTCACCCCGAGCCCTCATTACTTTGACAGTGGCATTGTCTTTAAGCTGTGTGACGCCTTTTTGGCGTCATCTGGTTGAGCATCAAATTGGGTCGAGGCTCAAAAGAAAGCCGTCCCTTGGTGTGGACCAATCAGTTTCAAGGACAATGCATATAATATAGTATGTTGTTTGTTTGCATTTTGGCTGCAAGTATTGTGGTTAATGCAGCAACATGAATCTTTATAAAAAGGTTTCAGTTTAGTTGCCAGCAAAAAGGGGAAAAGCCCCTATTATTATATTTCGATTTAAAGCTTTCGTGACTGCAGGGATTCATCTTCTCGGTTCTTTCGGTAAAGTCACCACCACGTAGAATGGGGATAAAATAATAAAAATAAAAATTCTCACGACGTTCTATCCCCGTTCTACGTGACTTTACCGAAAGAACCAAGAAGATGAACCCCTATTATTATATTATTTCGCACCGTACGTAGCCAAGCGTGCTAATCGGAGGTGCCACCACCACCCCCCCACACACACTCCAACCGGGCGGCGAGTTTCCCACGGTTGCTCCAGATGCTCTTGAAGAAGCCGACGGCCTCCTTCAGGCGGCCGGTGGAGTCGTCCCTCGCTCGCCGCCGCCGCGTCGTCAAAGCACCGGATCCACTTTCATCCTCTCGTTGGCGCTGGGCGCGCCCCCGGAATCGAACACGCGGAAGCAACAGAGGACCCTTGGCGAAAGTAACACGGCCTTGGACCCGGGCCTTGGATCAACACGGTCTCCGGAGTTTGCAGGGCTCGTCCGGGGGACGGGCGGCCCGGTCGGGTCGCGAACGCGCCGACGGGACTTTGCCGGCAGTGGATTCAGTCCGACTGAGCCACTTTGCGTGCGTCGTGAAATTTATGCCCGGCCGCGTTTTCTCTCCTTCGAGGTCTTACGGAGGTTGATTGTGTGCACATAGCCGGCGCCTTATTCCAAGGCGCTTTCAGGGAATTGTGATATTGTAAGGTAAAAGATGTTGATCGCGGTTGAAGTAAATAGCAGTATGGGTTATTAAAAGTGTAGTTGTGGTGACAGGGGAACAGGTTGGAGTGGTTAAGGAGGGGTTGGGGTAGTGGTAGGGGCAGTGATGGGGGTTGGGGTAGTGGTAGGGGCAGTGATGGGGGTTGGGGTTGTGATGTGGGTTGGAGTAGTGATGGGGGTTGGGGTAGTGATGGGGGTTGGGGTAGTGATGGGGGTTGGGGTAGTGATGGGGGTTGGGGTAGTGATGGGGGTTGGAGTAGTGATGGGGGTTGGGGTAGTGATGGGGGTTGGGGTAGTAATAGGGGTAGTGGTAGGGGCAGTGATGGGGGTTGGGGTAGTGATGGGGGTAGTGATAGGGGTTGGTGTAGTAATGGGGGTTGGGGTAGTGATGGGGGTAGGGGTAGTGATGGGGGTTGGAATAGTGATGGGGGTTGGGGTAGTAATAGGGGTAGTGATGGGGGTTGGGGTAGTGATGGGGGTTGGCGTAGTGATGGTGGTTGGTGATGGGGGTTGGGGTAGTGGTAGGGGCAGTGATGGGGGTTGGGGTAGTGGTAGGGGTAGTGATGGGGGTAGTGATGGGAGTTGGGGTAGTAGTGATGGGGGTAGGGGTAGTGATGGGGGTTGGAGTAGTAATAGTGGTAGGGGTAGTGATGGGGGTTGGGGTAGTGATGGGGGTAGGGGTAGTGATAGTGCGTGACGTCATAAATGACGTCACGAACCTGGGGGGGGGGGGGTGTGTCAGACATTTGTGACGATGTGTGACGAGGGGGGGGGGGAGGTGAGAAATGTGACGTCACATCAAAATGCGCAACTTTAAATAAATATAGACAACACATTCTACTTAAATAGACTTTGCAATAAATGTTTTCTCCTACAACATCAGAGTGCAGCGCCACATTAAATACGCACTACTGGAGGCACTATTAAATCGCTTTAATAGTTTAAAGCGATTTGAAGCATGTTTTATTTTCAAAATGGAAATATGGTTTTTGGGGGGGGGGGGGCAGAGCTTTGTGACGTCATATTTGAGGGGGGGGGTCTGACTTCTTGTGACGCCGTGTGATGAGGGGGAGGTCAAAAATCGTCCAAGATCGCGTGACGTCATTTATGCACAGCCCCCACAGGTGCACTTCGAGGCTCCTCGCTGCTTGGAGGAGGTCACGCCCCCTGCCATTAGACTCCGCCCCCTTCGCGGCGCGGCCCCGCCTCTCCCCCCAAGCCCCGACCCCTCTTCCATTAGACCACGCCCCCTTTCCAGCCTTGCCCTCTCCCACCAAGCACCTCCCCCTCTTTCATTAGACCCCGCCCCTTCGTACCACGCCCACTCAAACCCCGACCCGTCTTCCACCAGACCCCGCCCATTTCGTAGCCCCCGCCCCAAGCCCCTCTTCCATTGGACCCTGCCTACTTTGTGGCAACGCCCACTCTCCCCAAGCCCCTTCCCCGTCTGTCTTTAGACCTCGTCCCTCCGTAGCCCCGCCCACTCTTTCCCAAGCTCCTCCCCCGCTTGCATTAGACCCCACCTCCTTCGTAGCACCGCCCTCTCCTCCAACCCCCCCCTCTTCCATTAGACCTCGCCCCTGCCGTAGCCCCGCCCACCCTGCCAAGCCCCTCCCCCTCTTCCGCTAGACCACCGCCCCCTTCGTAGCCCCCGCCCCTACAAGCCCCGCCCCTTCCAGGTTTGGGTCAATCGGAAGTTTAACTCGGGACGAGGGGGGGTAGCCGGGCCAATTAACTCGCTCAGCCACTCTGGTGGGGGGTAGTGTGGGGGGGGTAGTGTGTGTGGGGGGTAGTGTGTGTGTGGGGGTAGTGTGTGTGTGGGGGGTAGTGTGTGTGTGGGGGATAGTGGGTGTGGGGGGTAGTGTGTGTGGGGGGTAGTGTGTGTGGGGGGTAGTGTGTGTGGGGGGTAGTGTGTGTGTGGGGGGTAGTGTGTGGGGGGTAGTGTGTGGGGGTAGTGTGTGTGGGGGGTAGTGTGTGTGTGGGGGGTAGTGTGTGTGGGGGGTAGTGTGTGTGGGGGGTAGTGTGTGGGGGGTAGTGTGTGTGGGGGGTAGTGTGTGTGTGGGGGGTAGTGTGTGTGTGGGGGGGTAGTGTGTGTGTGGGGGGTAGTGTGTGTGTGGGGGATAGTGGGTGTGGGGGGTAGTGTGTGTGGGGGGGTAGTGTGTGTGTGTGGGGGGTAGTGTGTGTGTGGGGGGTAGTGTGTGTGGGGGGTAGTGTGTGTGTGGGGGGTAGTGTGTGTGGGGGGTAGTGTGTGTGTGTGGGGGGGGTAGTGTGTGGGGGGGGGGAGTGTGGGGGGAGGAGGGAGTGTGTGGGGGGGGAGTGAGTGTGTGGTGGGGGGAGGAGTGAGTGTGTGTGGGGGGGGGAGTGTGGGGGGAGGAGTGAGTGTGTGTGGGGGGTAGTGTGTGTGGGGGGGGGGGAGTGTGGGGGGAGGAGGGAGTGTGTGGTGGGGGGTATCTGACGAGCGTCAACGTGGAGTTGGTGAGCGCCTATTAAAGGTCTGGCTGTTCGCTCGCGGTGATAACCGAGGTGAGAGGCCTGTGTGTGTGTGTCTCTCTGTGTCTCTGTGTGTGTATCTCTGTGTCTCTGTGTGTGTCTCTCTGTGTGTCTCTCTGTGTGTCTGTCTGTGTCTCTGTTGTGTGTCTCTCTGTGTCTCTCTCTCTGTGTCTCTGTGTGTGTGTCTCTCTGTGTGTCTCTGTGTGTCTCTCTGTGTCTCTGTGTGTGTCTCTCTGTGTGTGTGTCTGTGTCTCTGTGTGTCTCTCTGTGTGTGTCTCTCTGTGTGTCTCTGTGTGTGTGTCTCTCTGTGTCTCTGTGTGTCTCTCTCTGTGTGTCTCTCTTTCCGTGTGTCTGTCTGTGTCTCTGTGTGTGTCTCTGTGTGTGTCTCTCTGTGTGTCTCTCTGTGTGTCTCTCTCTGTGTCTCTCTCTGTGTCTCTGTGCGTGTCTCTCTGTGTGTGTCTCTCTGTGTGTGTCTCTCTGTGTGTCTCTCTGTGTCTCTGTGTGTCTCTCTCTGTGTGTCTCTCTTTCCGTGTGTCTGTCTGTGTCTCTGTGTGTGTCTCTGTGTGTGTCTCTCTGTCTCTCTGTGTCTCTCTCTCTGTGTCTCTCTCTCTCTGTGTGTCTCTGCGGTTCCGTCGTCGACTCGGCCTTGAATGAACTGCACCTGCACAGCCGCGCCACTGGAGAGACAAAGGCGGCCGGAGGCCCTGCCCAGGTGCTGCGACTTCGCCTCGAGCAGCACTTTGCCCCATTGCGCTCTTGCCGCAGGCTACCAGGGGGAGCTTTGTCTTTGTGTCGACCTGTAGTTGTGTGGAGGTGTGTGCGTGTGTAGGCCTGTGTAGCATTATGTGTAGGCCTGTGTGTGTGTGTGTATATAGGTGTGTGTGTGTAGGTGTGTGTGTGTAGGCACAGGTGCTGGCTAAAGTGGCCCCTCGGGATAGAGTCATCATGTTGGGTGACTTCAATGCCCGAGTTGGTCATGATACTGGCACCTGGTCTGGAGTGATTGGAGGGCATGGGCCAGATCAGCTCAATAACAACGGTAGGAGGCTGCTAGATTTTTGTGCAGCCCATGGGCTTGTAATTACCAACACGCTGTTCCGGCATCGGCGCATCCACACAACATCATGGATGCATGCCGGGTCCAAGCAAGAACATCTGCTGGACTACATAGTGACGGACCAGCGAATGCGAGCCCATGTCCTTGACACCAGGACCTACCGTGGAGCTGATCTGCCCTCTGACCATCGACTAGTCATCTGTAAGATGCGCCTGCCATTCTTCCACTCCGGTGGTGGGTGTACACCCAGGACCCCATTCCAACATAAGTGGCCTGGTCTCAGTTATCTGTTGAAAGTTGCAAGCGAGAATTTCATCCTTTGCTTGCGGCTGGGATTGGCATCGTCCCCGACTCCTCCTGATGTCGAGGGTAAATGGGCGAGGTTTAGGACTGTGACTCATGCAGCTGCAATGGCTGCTTTGGGTACGCGGTCCAGACCTCCCCAGAGACCCTGGCTGACAGAGGAGGTGTTCAGGATGGTTGAGAAAAAGCGACAGGCCCACTGTCATCGGCTACAGAATCCCACGTCAGAGAATGAGGAGGCTTACCGCAGCCTTCGCTCGGAGGTTCGGAGAGCCGTGAGGCGCTGCAAGGATGGGTGGTGGTCGCGGGTTGCTGAGGAGATGGAGTCTGCCTCAGTGGCCCGTGATCACAAATCTCTATTTAACTCCATCAAAAAAGTAACCTGCAGCGCCACACCTATTACCATCATTAGGGGAAAAAAACGGTGATCCAATCTCCGACCCCCAGGAACAGGTTGGCAGATTTGCTGAGCATTTCTGTGAGGTCCTGGGGGAGGGAAAATCCCTCAGCCAGGAAAACATCGTGGCTCAAAGTGAGGATGACCCTGCTGAGGCTGCGGTGCCTCAAATATTGGAAGAAGTCACCCCCTGTGAGTGGCTGGCTGAGGTGCCATCTGCTGAGGAAGTATTGAAGGCGATCCGGAGTCTGAGACCAGGAAAGGCAGCGGGCAGAGATGATCTCCCAAGCGAATTGCTGAGGGAGGGTGGCGTTTGTGCACAGACTGCCCTATATGACATCATAACAACATTCTGGACCACTGGACGGGTTCCGCAGGATTGGAAGGATTGCCCTGGTGGTCCCCCTTTTTAAGAAGGGGGACCGCACAGACTGTAAACAACTACAGGGGCATCTCACTCCTCAGTGTGCCGGGAAAGGTCCTGGCAAGGATTATTTCAGCATCGCCTTGCCAGGCACGCTGAGGAGAGGCTTGCGGAGCCCCAATGCGGTTTCAGGAAAGGGCGGTCCTGCACAGATGCCATATTTTCTGTCCGTCTGCTACAGCAGAGGTGTAGGGAATTCCAACAAGACCTACATCTCTGCTTTATTGACCTGGTCAAGGCCTATGATACTATCAGTAGGCCTGGGCTCTGGGTCGTTCTTCGTGCTTTTGGAGTACCTGACCCTCTGCTCACGATCATTAAGGACCTTCATGATGGTGAGCGGGCCCGGGTAAAACTACGTGGCCGGGAGTCAGAGCCATTCCCTGTACACCTTGGGGTGCGACAGGGATGTCCTCTGGCTCCCACATTATTTAACATCTATTTTGACCACGTAGTTCGTGAAGCCTTCAATAGCTGTACCCGGGGAATCTCCATATGGTACAGATATAATGGGAGGCTAATCGATGCCCGGGTGCGGTCAAGGGATGGCTCCCTATTGCTCAACCACGTTATGTATGCTGATGATTTGGTAATAGTTGCTCAGTCAGAGGAGGAGTTGGAGACGCGCTGCTGAGACTGGAGCGTGCCACTAAGAGGTGGTGCCTTACCATCAGCCCCACCAAAACTAAGCACCTGCCTGGGTATTTTGTACCATCGGACACTCCACCCCCCACAACTCCCAATCGGTGATGGGGCAGTTGTGGAGAGAGTGGAGAGTTTCCCATACCTGGGCAGTGTGCTTATGACCGGCTTCCGTTTTAACAGCAGAGGTCTCACTCCGAATCAGTCGAGCGGCAATATCTTTTCATCGGTTGCGTAACGCTGTGTGGAAGCTACCTGGTCTGTCGCTCCGCACTAAGCTTCAGGTCTTCTCGGCCACGGTCATTCCCTCCCTTCTCTACGCTTGCGAAACGTGGACCCCCCTAATGGAACATCTTCGCCGGTTAGAACATTTAGGCTGGCCTGCCTACGATCCATCCTGGGTTTAACCAGACTGGATTGTGTGAGGAGCTCACAAATCCTTGAAAGATCTGGGCAGGGTCCCATCGGTGAGCTCCTCCGGCAGGCAAGGCTGCGATGGCTGGGTCATGTAGCCGCATGCCCAGCCACCGCATGCCGAAACAGCTTTTGTTTGGCCGGATTGAGGGGGCTAAGCGGGCGCGGCACGGGCTAGAGAAGAGATGGAGTGATGTGGTACAGGAGGGACGTGGGAGCTGAGTGGACTTGCCGATGACTGGTACCAGCGGTGTCAAGATCGACCTCTGTGGAGGAGGCTCGTGAAGGATGCTACTGGGCAGTTGGAGGCAGTCGCCCTCCAACAACAACGGAGGGCGGAGGAGCGACGCTCACAACAACGAGCGGAGCGCCGGGTGGCTAAAGCACAGCAGGTTGGCACAGTAGGGGGCACAGGTGGTGCATCAGCCAGTCATCTCAGTCAGTCGACCCGTAGCACCTGGGTCTGCCCAGTGACCTCCTGCCAGCGGGCGTTCGACACTTCACGTGGCCTCACGGTGCACATAGCCTGGCACAAGCGTCGTGGTGACGTCACCGCCACTTAGTGGCGAATGGCGGTTGTTGTTGTTGTTTGTAGGCAGGTGTGTGTGTGTAGGCAGGTGTGTGTGTGTAGGCCTGTGTAGCATTATGTGTAGGCCTGTGTGTGTGTGTATATAGTTGTGTGTGTGTAGGTGTGTGTGTGTAGGCAGGTGTGTGTGTGTAGGCAGGCGTGTGTGTAGGCAGGTGTGTGTGTGTAGGCCTGTGTAGCATTATGTGTAGGCCTGTGTGTGTGTATATAGGTGTGTGTGTAGGTGTGTGTGTGTAGGCAGGTGTGTGTGTGTAGGCAGGTGTGTGTGTGTAGGCCTGTGTAGCATTATGTGTAGGCCTGTGTGTGTGTTTATAGGTGTGTGTGTGTAGATGTGTGTGTGTAGGTGTGCGTGTAGGCAGGTGTGTGTGTGTAGGCAGGTGTGCGTGTGTAGGCAGGTGTGTGTGTAGGCAGGTGTGTGTGTAGGCAGGTGTGCGTGTAGGTGTCTGTAAGTGTATAGGTGTGTGTGTAAATGTATAGGTGTGTGTGTGTATATATAGGTGTGTGTAGGCCTGTGTGTGTGTAAGTGTGTGTGTGTGTGTATATATAGGTGTGTGTGTAGGCCTGTGTGTGTGTAGGTGTGTGTGTAGGCAGGTGTGTCTGTGTTTACAGGTGTGTGTGTAGGCAGGTGTGTGTGTAGGTGTGTGTAAGTGTATAGGTGTGTGTGTGTAGGCCTGTGTGTGTGTAGGTGTGTGTGTAGGCAGGTGTGTGTGTAGGTGTGTGTAAGTGTATAGGTGTGTGTGTGTGTGTATATAGGTATGTGTGTGTGTAGGCCTGTGTGTGTGTAGGCGTGTGTGTGTAAGTGTATAGGTGTGTGTGTGTAAGTGTATAGGTGTGTGTGTAGGCGTGTGTGTGTGTAGGCGAGTGTGTGTAGGTGTGTGTGTGTAAGTGGGAGGCTGATCGATGCACGGGTGCGGTCAAGGGATGGCTCCCTATTGCTCAACCATGTTATGTATGCTGATGATTTGGTAATAGCTGCTCATTCAGAGGAGGAGTTGGAGACGCTGCTGCTGAGATTGGAGCGTGCCACTAAGAGATGGGGCCTTACCATCAGCCCCACCAAAACTAAGCACCTGCCTGGGTATTTTGTACCATCGGACACTCCACCCCCACAACTCCTTATCGGTGATGGGGCAGTTGTGGAGAGAGTGGAGAGTTTCCCATACCTTGGAAGTGTGCTTATGACCGGCTCCAGTTTAACAGCAGAGGTCTCACTCCGAATCAGTCGAGCGGCAATATCTTTTCATCGGTTGCGTAACGCTGTGTGGAAGCTACCTGGTCTGTCGCTCCGCACTAAGCTTCAGGTCTTCTCGGCCACGGTCATTCCCTCCCTTCTCTACGCTTGCGAAACATGGACCCCCCTAATGGAACATCTTCGCCGGTTAGAAACATTTAGGCTGGCCTGCCTACGATCCATCCTGGGTTTAACCAGACTGGATTGTGTGAGGAGCTCACAAATCCTTGAAAGATCTGGGCAAGGTCCCATCGGTGAGCTCTTCCGGCGGGCAAGGCTGTGATGGCTGGGTCATGTAGCCCGCATGCCCAGCCACCGCATGCCGAAACAGCTTTTGTTCGGCCGGATCGAGTGGGCTAAACGGGCGCGGCACGGGCTAGAGAAGAGATGAAGTGATGTGGTACAGGAAGACGTGGAGCTGAGTGGACTTGCCGATGACTGGTACCAGCGGTGTCAAGATCGGCCTCTGTGGAGGAGGCTCGTGAACGACGCTATTGGGCAGTTGGAGGCAGTCGCCCTCCAACAACAACGGAGGGCGGAGGAGCGACGCTCACAACAACGAGCGGAGCGCCGGGTGGCGAAAGCACAGCAGGTTGGCACAGTAGGGGGCACTGCTGGTGCATCAGCCAGTCATCTCAGTCAACCCGTGGCACCTGGGTCTGCCCCGTGACCTCCTGCCAGCGGGCGTTCGACACTTCACGTGGCCTCAAGGTGCACATGGCCTGGCACAAGCGTCGTGGTGACATTACCGCCACTTAGTGGCGAATGGCGGTTGTTGTTGTGTGTGTATTTAGGTGTGTGTGTAGGCCTGTGTGTGTGTGTGTAGGTATAGGTGTGTGTGTGTATGTATATAGGTGTGTGTGTGTGTATATTGGTGTGTGTAGGTATGTGTAGGTATATAGGTGTGTGTAGGTGTGTGTAGGTATAGACTGTAACAACTACAGGGGCATCTCACTCCTCAGTGTGCCGGGAAAGGTCCTGGAAAGGATGATTCAACATCGCCTTGCCAGGCACGCTGAGAAGAGGCTTGCGGAGCCCCAATGCGGTTTCAGGGAAGAGCGGTCCTGCACATATGCCATATTTTCTGTCCGTCTGCTGCAGCAGAGGTGTAGGGAATTCCAACAAGACCTACATCTCTGCTTTATTGACCTGGTCAAGGCCTATGATACCATCAGTAGGCCCTGGGCTCTGGGTTGTTCTTCGTGCTTTCAGAGTCCCTGAGTCTCTGCTCACGATTATTAAGGACCTTCATGATGGTGAGCGGGCCCGGGTAAAATTACGTGGCCGGGAGTCAGAGCCATTCCCTGTTCACCTTGGGGTGCGACAGGGATGTCCTCTGGCTCTAACATTATTTAACACCTATTTCGACCACGTAGTTCATGAAGCCTTCAGTAGCTGTACCGGAGGAATTTCCATTTGGTACAGATACAATGGGAGGCTGATGGATGCCCGGGTGCGGTCAAGGGATGGCTCCCTATTGCTCAACCACGTTATGTAAGACGATGATTTGGTAATAGCTGCTCATTCAGAGGAGGAGTTGGAGACGCTGCTGCTGAGACTTGGAGCGTGCCACTAAGAGATGGGGCCTTACCATCAGTCCCACCAAAACTAAGCACCTGCCTGGGTATTTTGAACCATCGGACACTCCACCCCCACAACTCCCAATCGGTGATGGGGCAGTTGTGGAGAGAGTGGAGAGTTTCCCATACCTGGGCAGTGTGCTTATGACCGGCTCCAGTTTAACAGCAGAGGTCTCACTCCGAATCAGTCGAGCGGCAATATCTTTTCATCAGTTGCGTAATGCTGTGTGGAAGCTACCTGGTCTGTCGCTCCGCACTAAGCTTCAGGTCTTCTCAGCCACGGTCATTCCCTCCACTACGCTTGCGAAACGTGGACCCCCTTAATGGAGCATCTTCGCCGGTTGGAAACATTTAGGCTGACCTGCTTACGATCCATCCTGGGTTTAACCAGGCTGGATTGTGTGAGGAGCTCACAAATCCTTGAAAGATCTGGGCAAGGTCCCATCGGTGAGCTCCTCCGGCTGGCAAAGCTGCGTTGGCTGGGTCATGTAGCCCGCATGCCCAGCCACCGCATGCCGAAACAGCTTTTGTTCGGCTGGATCGAGGGGGCTAAACGGGCGCGGCACGGGCTAGAGAAGAGATGGAGTGATGTGGTACAGGAGGACTTGGAGCTGAGTGGACTTGCCGATGACTGGTACCAGCGGTGTCAAGAACGGCCTCTGTGGAGGAGGCTCGTGAAGGACGCTACTGGGCAGTTGGAGGTAGTCGCCCTCCAACAACAACGGAGGGCGGAGGAGCAACGCTCACAACAATGAGCGGAGCGCCGGGTGGCTAAAGCACAGCAGGTTGGCACAGTAGGGGGCACAGGTGGTGCACCAGCCAGTCATCTCAGTCAGTCGACCCGTGGCACCTGGGTCTGCCCCGTGACCTCCTGCCCGCGGGCATTCGACACTCCACGTGACCTCAAGGTGCACATGGCCTGGCACAAGCGTCGTGGTGACGTCACCGCCACTTAGTGGCGAATGGCGGTTGTTATTGTTGTAGGTTTATAGGTGTGAATAGGTGTGTGTGTAAGCCTGTGGGTGTGTTGCGTGTAGGTATATAGGTGTAAATAGGTGTGTATGTCGGTCTTTGGGTGTGTATACGTGTGTTGTAGGTCTGTGGGTGTGAATCGGTGTTTGTGTAGTTATGTAAGTGTGTAGGTGTGGTTCGTGGGAGTTTAGTGGTTAGCGCTTCGTTGCGCTACGAACCCGGCGGCTCGAGTTCAATTCCCGCTCACGGTCACCAACACCGGCGACGATGATCCGAACTGGTCTTGGGCCACCCCTAGGTCGACTGAGCCTCAAATGACTGCCTGTTGCGGTGTGTGAACATTGCCAAAGGCGGCCGGGCGTGGTGCTGGCCACCCACCCCCTCGTGTGTCACCGTGCCGGCCTTCACTGGTGCCGCTCGCTAACAGCACTTGCTTCTGCAGTCTATTCACAGGCTGTACAGGGGGATCTTTCTTGGCACAGCGGGGATCACAGCTGGTGCATCTGCCAGTCATCTGGGTCAACCCATGGCGCCTGGGTCTGTCCCGTGACCTCCCCTGCCAGCGAGAGTCTCAAGCTGCACCGAGCCTGGTGCAAGCGCTTTGGTGACGTCACCACGACGAATGGTTAGTGTGTGTGCGTGGCATCTACATATATATATAAAAAAGGGAAATTTGTGAATGTGCGTCTGTTTGAAATGTTTAGCGTACTTCCCAACATGCAACAAACTTGAAATTTGGCATGTGGGTGGCTTCCAGACTGTACACAATTTGAAAAAGTATAAGCAATAGACTTTTGTATTTTGGGGGAGGGTGGGAGGGGGGGGCGCGCAATGATGGACATATTTTGCACGGCAAGCGAGCGGTGACGTCACGTCTGTGATGTCACCCACACGTGGCAGCGTCACGCAGCGTGCCTGCTGACGTCACGCATCCCCCCCCCCCCACCCCCCCCCAACCCTCCGCGTAGGGCCGCGTGTTAATCCAAGACAAGAATCCAGGTTCCCGGGCGAAGCCGGGTAGTAAAGCGAGTTTGTAAATATCAATGTGTCGTCAAACCTCGCCACGACCCCACACGGCCAATCAGAGTAAGGCTGTGCCACGTGAACAAAACTGGGCCGGATTAGTTGCTGGTTCAGCACTAAAACCGCTTGCGTGTTGGGAGAGTTAAACCCGCCACAACATTTACTATTTGTGTACTGATTTAAAGCTTTCGTGACTGCAGTGATTCATATTCTTAGCTCTTTTGGTTAAGCCACGTTGAAGGGAAACAATAAAATAACAAAATATATATAAAACAATTTTATTGTTTTATATACATTTAATTGTTTTTATATATTTTATTATTTTATTGTTTCCCTTCAACGTGACTTTACCGAAAGAACCAACAATATACTGTTTGTACGTTTCGCCGGTAATGACGACGATGACGACAACAAGCCGCCTCGTCGGGCGACGGCCAGGATCGTGGAGAAAATCCCCGTCCCTGTTTGGGTCTGAAATAGACGGGGGGCGGGGTGGGTTAAAAATCTGCAGTCCTCTTTCCGAAGTCGCCACCTTTACTCACCTCGCGCAGCCAAAATGATCACGCTCGGGATGGTCCTCGTCGAGGTTGAAGCTCCGAAATTTTGACTTGAAACTTTCGTGACTGCAGGAAGAAAAAAATAATAATAGATCACACGACGTTCCGATCGTCGCGAGGACGGTCGCTCGTGTGGCGATCGAAAACGCCGCGCGATCCGTAATGATTTTCGACCCACGTGACTCTGCCCAAAGACTGCGGATTCCTGCGGTCACGAAAAGCTTGAAATGAAGATTGAAACCATAGAATGGTAAAAAAAAAAAACCTCTTACCGATTGGTCGCGGAAGCCCGCGACTTGACTGCCCCCACCACGTGCTGAGACTGGCGTTTTGTACGTTCTCACGCCAGACCCAGTGGTTGTCAGACCATCGGTGATGGTCCTTCCGGGGTTGTTAAGCGGTGATGATGCAGACAGCGCAGGACAACGGCGACGGCGTTATTTACACCTTTCGTTTATTTTTCGGGGGCGGGGGGGTGGGTCTTGGGGGAACGGAAGCCGAATTTTTATTCACACCTGGAGGAATGCGATGAGCCGTGGAGCACAACACGATGGGATTGCAAAGTACAACAAAGGTGTTCGTAATAGAGGTGTTTTTGGGTTAGATCGCTTTGTTTATGAACGTGTCATAACCCTCCACCTGCCCGTCACGGCCACAACGTAAGGGGACCGTGGGCAATTACAGCCAACGTGAGTTGAGCGTAGACAACTAGACCCAAGCCAAAACACAACAGATAAAAAATAATGTTTAAAAATATTTGTTTTTATTTTTTATGATAGAATATGGTATCGTCATCAGTGTGACATAAGTATAGCAAGTTTGGAGTCGATACCGCATTGGGAAGTGGGTTAAGATTGAGTCACAAGATTTGAGCAGGCAACAACAACAACAGACAGTGAGTTAATAGAAAGCGTGTAAAAATAATGTTTAAAAATATTATACCACATTGGGAATTGGGTTAAAGTTTACTGACAAGATGTGGAGCAAATAACAACAACAGACAGTGAGTTAATAGAAAGCGTGTAAAAATAATGTTTAAGAATATTATATTTTTAATTTTTAATGATTGAATATGGTATCGTCATCAGTGTGACAGAAGTATATACCAAGTTTGCAGTCGATGCCACATTGGGAAGTGGGTTAACGTTGAGTCACAAGATTTGAGCAGACAACAACAACAACAGACAGAGTGAGTTAATAGAAAGCGTGTAATAATAAGAGCTACCCGGCTCAGTGGGCCTTGCCTCGTAACGAAGGCTGTTTTGGGTTACGTCGCTTTATTTATGAACGTGTCGTAACCCTCCACCTGCCCGTCACGGCCAATCGGCAAAGAAAAGAGTGTCACGTTGACAAAAGACAAAATTAGTTCACTACTTGAGCCCACCGGCGCGTTGAAGAGTGAATCCACAACGCTTGCAATTTTTTGAGTACGGCGTTTCGCTGGCGATTGCGGGCAGCGTCGGCGGGCAATTTGCCAGAATAGCGAAGCCCCCTTCCTGCTCCCGGTCTTAAATAGAGCAGCAGGTGGTGACGTCATCATTTCACCCCTTAATTGGTTCTTTCCGTAAAGTCACCGCCACGTAGGATGAGAAATAAAATAATAAATTGATAAAATAAAATAACGCGATTAAATTCTCACGACGTTTCGGCCACAACACAAGCGGCCTTCATCAGGTGAAGGGACGAGACTGTCTCGAGGACAGCGCTGGAGCGAACAAAGCCAAGCTCAGACCGCGACCTTTAAGCTGTGCGAGAAGAAACAGAGCGCCTTGACAAAGGAATTAGCATAAAAATTAGCATTTAATTGGCGGACTTAGCATGATGAACGGTGTAGAGGGGGTGCACATGTGCAGACCGGCGAGGGGGGAAGGGGGAGTTTACATACTGATTGTGTGAAAAGGGAGTTTAAGCTGCTGCGAAAGTTTGGGATACCACTACTTGAAAAAATATACTGTACCATTGAAAATTAGTTTAATGGTTGGTTCGGATATTTTACTCTGGTCGCTTCACCTGATGAAGGCCACTTGTGTTGTGGCCGAAACGTCGTGATTTTTTGCCGTTTTAATTTTTTTTACCCACGTGACTTTACCGAATAGAACCAAAGGGTATGGATCCTTGCAGTCATGAAAGCTTCAAATCTAGAATCCCCAATCCTACCGGGCAAGTCCCACCCGGGGGGTTAGGAGGAGCTCATGAAATTATCGTCGGAGCAAAACCTGGCCGCGAACGGCAGCTCGACTGAAGCGGCGTGTCGCATGGGAAATTTAGTCGGAGCGAAAAAGCGCGCGTTGATTTTCGTCGGCGCCAATTTGACGTGGCGCTCTGGATGCGAAGTGGATGTACGGTACAGCGCGATCGAGTGAACGGAACTACGTCGCAGCGCGAGGAGGGATAAAGAAGGCCGGGCGGCGGCTGCCTCGGCGCGGCAGCGTCACCGGGATACTGCTGGATGCTACTCGACGCTACCCCATACGCGGCCTCGGGTCTTTGCTCGGCCCTGTGGTGCGCATCTCGCGCGTTTCTCGCCGAACTTCGCTTCTCAGCCTTGCACGGAGCACGCGCGCCAACGCGGGCACTCCGTTGATCTTGATAATGTTTAAGTAAAATTTTTATTTAAAGCTTTCGGGACTGCAGGGATTCACACTCTTGGTTCTTTCGGTAAAGTCACCACCACGTAGAAGGGAAACAATGAAATAATAAAAATATAAAACGATAAAATTCTCACGACGTTTCGACTGCAACACAAGCAATCATCATCAGGTGTAAACCACAGCAAGAAAAACTTTTTTCAAACCACAGCATGAAAACTTTTTTCAAATTTTTTCTTGCTGTGGTTTTCGCACCTGATGATGATGATTGCTTGTGTTGCAGTCGAAACGTCGTGAGAATTTATTGTTTTATATTTTATTATTTTATTGTTTCCCTTCTACGTGGTGGTGACTTTACCGAAAGAACCAAGAATATGATGTTCAAGTTCTGTGCAAAACGAGTTACAGCTGGCCGAGACTAATTCGAAATTCTATCGGAATTGAGAGAGATATTTGTTTTAACCGTTCTGATAGCTACGGGCTTGGTGCTGCTGCTCAAGCGAATTATGAAAGTAATATGACACTTTTTAACTGCATGCCTCTCCAGGTCACCATGTGTCGATGGTTAATGTGAGCAGACAATCACGGGTATCGCAATTTCTTGCACCTAACAACGGCAGGATGTGTACGCATGATGTGCATGCATAATAGAATTGAAGCTTTCGTGGCTGCAGGAATAACTATACTCTATTGGTTCATTCGGTAAAGTCACGTTTGTAGAAATACAATGTAAATATATTTGAAATTATTTAAATTGTATCTTCATAATAAAAGTAAAAAAAAATATGTAAATTTTATTTTAATAATTTTAAAATTGACTTAAATTTTACTTTTATTTCTACATACGTGACTTTACCGAATGAGCCATTGAGTGATAATTACCATATGAGTAACCCAACCGGTAATGGATATCAATTGTAATACATATAAATACATCACCCACCCTCCCTCTCTGGCTTTCACACCTGATTGGCTCACAAGTGATGACATCACATTTATTCCACCCCCCCGTCTATTTAAGACCGACACAGGAGGAAGATCTCTCCACCACTCTGGCTGTCGACCAACGATGCCTGTTGTTGTTGTTGTCGTTGCAACGTCACGGCACCCGAATTGTAAATGTTGCAGTGGTGGCTTCACTCTCCCGATGCGCGACCGGTTTAGTGCCGAACCGGCAACGAAATCGGCTTCACGTTTTGTTCACGTGAAGCCAACCTCGCCTGATCGGCCGTGTGCGTCGGGTGCTGCTGCTGCTGCTGCGTTTTCACCCCATTGCCCACGGGCTTGCTCCAGGTTCTCCGGTTTCCCCGGCACGGCTAAGCTAAAAAAAAAGACTTAGGCCGTGCGATGTTGCCACCGCTTGTTCCTGGCCAACGTGCCAGCGCGGCGACTTGAAATAGAGATTCTCCCGTGACTCGCTCCGGCTCGCCCGGGCAAGGCGCGCAACGTCAATGCCT